TTCAATGTCTAGATTCAAATATGTAATTGTCTATATACAAATTCACACATTCACAAAGGATCACGATCGTCGTCTTGCGACCTTGATAGAATTGTAACAATGCCTATAATATTTTGCTCAGTGCCACAAATTTTCGACCATTAAACATGATTTAACAAGATGTTCATTTAAACTTAATCATTGAAAGGAGAAGGATCCCTCTCCCACAGCTTGACACGTGGCAATAAATTTCTCGTAAGAACCAATGAGAAAGCCGGCATTCGACATGTCATCTTTACCTTCACGCTTCCTCTCTATTTTTTCACACTGGAAAAACGTTTCTCGACTTGCCGCCTCCATCTAACCTCTCTTTAACTCCTCCATGCGATTCAGTTTCTCCTTCTTAGCATTCAAACTCTTTTTTTCTACTATGGAAGTGTGAGAGGAGAGAAAGCCGATCAAGCAAAACTGACGAGTGTCTCGATCAATTGGTAAGAATTTGATTTTAGAATTTACAAAGAATTATTTGGGTTTTGTGTCTCCTTCCCTGATATTCGCTTTTCGTTTTCGATCTAGATTAGTGTTACAACCAGAATCACCAGTAGAAATCTGAATTTGTATCCCTGATTTTGTTTGTCTTCAGGGTACTTTTAGTTCTTGAGTTGCTTTTTATATCTAAAATCTTTACGCACACACAAAATAAAATCATTTTTTTCAAGTCATTATAAATGTGGTTGTTGCAAGTGAGATATTTTTGATTGCCAGCGTTTCCTTGACAAGGATAATTGAGTGATTGTGTGAATTGAATCTAAATGACTAAACTTATCATTGTTGTATCGTAAGGTGATGTATTTTTATGCAGTTTATTGGGTTTGTTTGATGATTCTTCTTGCTGGTTTTGTTCTAGTCCAACTGAACCTCAAAAAAATTTCAATGGTTTTTCATGAGTCATGAAACACATTTGTCAATTACGAGGCCCATGCCCAACACAGAATGTTGAGTTTACTTTTTTTTTGTTTTTCTAAATCTATTTCAACTTTACTATTATTCTTAGCCATCATTTTGCAGAAGACACGAACTGGATCACATGTCACTCTGCAATTATGGACGTTTTCAGTTTCTTACAGTTCGTTATATAGGACCTTTGGGAATGGTTATCTACTACCTCATTGTCTTACATGAAAAATGAGATTCTGGTTATTTTCTGGCTTCAGATCCATCCTAATTCTGAATTTAACTCTTATCTTAAATTTCTCTTTTA